AGTCAAAGTAGCATACTCGAATCTGAACAGATTTGTGTATTCCCAAGCATTTTGAAAGATGAAAAGGTTAATCAAGACCTATAAAAAGGCATGCTCTCATTGCGGAGAGGGGAAAAAAGGCAATCCAAGGGTAATCTAAGTTTTCCACTTGTTCTCTTGAACGTATAGAGAGTTAGAGTGAAGGAGAGTCTCTTGTGTTGTAGAGATCTCGAGTGTTGAGTTAATAGACAAAGAGCGTGATTGAGGGTTGTGTGGAAGTCGGCGATGTATGGTGTGTCGTGTGTGCCTTGTACCCATTTTGTTGATTCCATATAGTGAAGTATCCTCCGAGCTCTGAGCTCAACCCGTGGTTTTTTTCCGTTTGGGTTTTCCACGTAAATCCTTGTGTCTATTCTTTATGTAATTATCTTTAATTTTTTGTCATTAAGAACAAGAACTTAAAGTGGTGTTGAGAAGTTTCACGGTTCGTCAACACCAACAGGTCGGTCATGCCTTTCGTCTCAAGTCCGGTTCGTGAGGCAGGTTTGCTAGTTCATCATCCTGGTCGCGATTGCGGATGCTTCGGGAGACGACCAACTGATGGGTACACGTGGCCGCCTCTCGAGACTCCATTAGATTTAGTAATTTCCAAGATATAATAATATCCAATTCCTATTCACAACCGTAGTCTTTTTTTTTTTTTCATTTTAGAAAGAGGAGATCGAATATAACAAGTGTTGTATTCGAACAGTAACCGATCCGTTTGCACCCCTGACAATCAACCAGCCGCACAGTTCCTCTAGCGGAATCTTCATTAAAAAAAGTAACACAAAGAAAAGATGAAAACAAATGAATACGAACCCACTTATAACATGCATAAGAGCATCTCCAACAGCTTCCCCAAAATTTTCTCCAATATGAAAAAACAAAAGTCATATTCTCCAAATTATTTTTGCTCCAACTCCAACAGCTTTCCCATTTTGAAAAATCGCATTTATTACAACAATAAAGCTCTCCCCAAAAATTTGGAGAATGCTGCAGATTTGGGGAAGGCTCCCTATTTTTTCTCCTCTTCCCTATTTTGGAGAATAGGATGGGGAATCTGTTGGACCAAAAAAAAGCTCTATATTCCCCAAATTTGAGTATTTCAAGAAGATGGGGAAGCTGTTGGAGATGCTCTAAGCCATCTTTAGTAATAAATACATGTAAATGCAGAAACAACGCAGCAATGTTTTATCCGTAATCTGGTAACCGAGTAGGATTTGTATTTTGGATTGAAGACAATGATAGAAATTAATGCAAGGAGTTCCCAAATGTTCGTATTTGTAATTTTATGTTTGGTTTGTAGGATAGTGAAGTGAAAATTGAAAATTGAAAATATTTATATTATCGTCAATTCCATAATAAAATTACTGTATAATTGGAAAAAAAATAACTTGCAGAAGATTATACGCTTTCCTACCTGATATTAAAGGTTGACAGTCGCAGCGTACCTCCGCTCACCTTCTGCCACGTTGGATCTTCAATTAGTAAGTATTTTTGTCACATTACATCCCAATATTCGGCAGAGTATGCATCATATATTCATATCCGTGTCTATTCATATTTTAAAGGGCTAATTGCTAATATGTCTTTGTAGTATCACTCAATTAAGACTAGATCATTTGCAGTTGCATTTTTGTGAATATTCATAGTTTTCACTATTAAGATCATTCTAACGATGCGTATAGATCCCTGTAGTTTTAATCATGAGGGCAGGCTGTCAATTGCTTTTTAAAGGAGCCAAAAAGTTCATTAAGGTGATGTATTTATGATAGGGTCAATACTATAGAGGGTCTATTTGCCACAAACAGAATTACAGGGGGTCTAGTTGCAATTGGGTGATATAATTGTTGGGATTTTATCTTTGATTCTTTGTGTAACTTCATGAGAATTAGATAGGGTTAGAGTTCTATCATGATTAGTAGTTTGGGTTCTATCATGATTAGGAGTTTGAGTTCTATCATGATTAGGAGTTTGAATCCTATTCTAATTAGGAAGTTAGGCTAGGGATAGAGTTTTGGTTTTCCTATATATATTCTTCTATTGGTGGAGGAAAAACCATGAAGAAAAAGTAGAGATGTAGTATATATTCTTCTATTGGTGGAGGAAAAACCATGAAGAAAAAGTAGAGATGTAGTAGATGAGAGAGAGAGGGTTTCGTAGTCTTTATGGAGGAAAAACCATGAAGAAAAAGTAGAGATGTAGTAGATGAGAGAGAGAGGGTTTCGTAGTCTTTATTTGTGCAAAAGATTACAATGAGTGGGCTTTGGAGAGAATGTGAGAGTTGATTATGTATGTGAGGTTAAGAGATTGAGAGACGAGAGTTGAGTGGTTCCTCTCGTAGTTCTCCCTAATACATAATGAATTTCTCATATTGTTACCCCGTGGACGTAGGTCGAAGTTGGTCGACCGAACCACGTAAATCTCGATGTTCTTTTTCTTGATTGTGGTTGTTCTATCTTATTGATTGGGGTTGACTTCCGAGTTGCGCATATCGTGGTAGGCGGGGAGACTGAAATTCCTAACAAGTGGTATCAGAGAGATGGTGATGGATCCGGGAGCGAGTTCGCAAGATAGAAAACGACGTCGTGCAAGATTGAAAATCGGCGTTACAAGAATCAAGATGAAAAGAAAAAAAAGAAAAAAAAGGGAAAGATTACTTTAGCAGAACACTGTGTCGCGATGGGTACTGTTCACGTGGGGATCCGACGGTCCAGATTGATTTGTTAGTCGATTGAGCATTTGGAGGCGGATTTTGGTGATCCAGGAGTCGTTCCTAGGTTTTTTCGACGTGCTAAGTTCGTTTTTGGCATCAGTTTCATCAAATTCAAACTCTACGGTGACTGATTTGAATTTTGATTAGAGAATGATAACTTCTTCGGGTCCGAAGTTTGATATTCCGCTATTTAACGGCAAGACAAATCTGACGGTAGATAAGGAGCAAGAGTTGGTTGGTGTGTATACTTGAGGAGGACAGTGCCAGATTAGGTGGAGCTTGCAAGCGGGCACGATCGAGTGACACACATAGAGATGAAGTTGGTGACGTTGGACTTGAAGATGGTGAGCGTTCATATTCAGTCCAAGTCAAGTGATGGAGGAGATAGAGGCATCCGACTCGTAGTGTGGAGTAGGAGAGGTGCACTAATATGATTTGAGACGAGCGATGCAGGTGGAGCACAAGGACAACAAGAGAGGTAGAGGCGTCACGGCGAAGCAGAAGATAGTGAGGATCATGAAGGCATCCACTTGGGAGTGCAGGTGTTCTGATTTGAAGTGCGAAAGAAATAGAAGACTCTAGCGGGAGAGACAAAGTTTCAAGACGACGATGATATATCTTTAAGGGAGTTTGGGAATCAAATCCAAGGTGAAGATTGTTGGGATTTTGTCTTTGATTCTTTGTGCAACTTCATGAAAATTAGATAGGGTTAGAGTTCTATCATGATTAGGAGTTTGAGTTCTATCATGATTAGGAGTTTGGGTTTTATCATGATTAGGAGTTTGAATCCTATTCTAATTAGGAAGTTAGGCTAGGGATAGGGTTTTGGTTTTCCTATATATTCTTCTATTGGTGGAGGAAAAACCATGAAGAAAAAGTAGAGATGTAGTAGATGAGAGAGAGAGAGGGTTTCGTAGTCTTTATTTGTGCAAAAGATTACAAGGAGTGGGCTTTGGAGAGAATGCGAGAGTTAATTATGTATGTGAGGTTGAGAGATTGAGAGACGAGAGTTGAGTGGTTCCTCTTGTAGTTCTCCCTGATACATAGTGAGTTTCTCGTATTGTTGCCCCGTGGACGTAGGTCGAAGTTGGTCGACCGAACCACGTAAATATCAGTGTTCTTTTTATTGATTGTGGTTGTTCTATCTTATTGATTGTGGTTGGCTTCCGAGTTGCGCATATCGTGGTAGGCGGGGAGACTGAAATTCCCAACAATTATGAGGGTCTATTCTCAATTAACCCAACTTAAATTAGGCACCAAATCCATTATTTGTTTTAAATAAACTCCTTTCCAACAAATATGGAGATTTGTGAGTCTAATTGGGTTTTTCTTATAATATTAAGCAGCATTAGATGTTCTTCATCTACCTCCATTATCATAAATAGATGTGTAACATTTAAAGATTTTGATCCCCCCACCCCCCACCCCCCACCAAAAAAAATGATGATTCTAATTATGTGCTGTAACAACTTATTCTCTAAAATTAATTTATTCTCTAAACCAAAAGCCATTTTTTAAACAATCTAACCATCAACAACTACTTATCATATTAATAATATTTTATTTTCTAAAAAAGAAAAATCAATGCTAAGGAAAAAAACAACAACAGCAACAACTCATCACATAGTGTAGTTCCTTAGTTACGGAAAAAGAACAAAAAATTACTATGAAACACTCAAACGTCATTAATCAAAAAATTACTGTGAAACACCCAAACGTCATTAATTTAATTTACTAAAAACTACTAGGAAACAAAGTTTATTTCAGTGAAGAGACTCATTTCTCGGACAAATTTTCAAAACCGATCCATTTCATGATTTAATTGCAAAAAACGACCCGTTTCTATTTTATTTATAAAAACCGACCCAGTTGGTTGAAACTGGGTCGGTTTTTGAAATTTTTTTTCCACGGGAGTTCAACTCCCGTGAAGTTTTGTTATGAGAAAAAACTTCACGGGAGTTCAACTCCCGTGAAGTTTCGTAAAGTTTTTTTTAAAAACCGACCTGGTTTCAGCGACAGTGCTGAAACCAGATCGGTTTCTCTAAATAAAACAGAAACAGGTCGTTTTTGGCAATTAAATCATGAAAAGGGTTGGTTATGAAAATTTGTCGCTCGTTTCTCCAAGATAATGTGAGTAGTTGTCCAGTACTTAATGCTTCTTATGCCCGCGCTATAGAAAAGCCCTTTTTCCAAATAGAAAAATCACGTGTAACGGTAACCTCACCTTGCGGTATCCAGACTCCCAGTCTCTCCGATTTCCGAGACCCTTTCCTGCCCTCGGCTGTCTTTTTCCCTCTCTCTCCTCAACTCTCCCGCCAAAAAAGCTGCACCTTTCTGATCTTTCTCTCCCCCCCTTCAAAACCCTAACCCTAAATCCCAATGTCCAGCCGCGGCGTCTCCGGCGGAGCGCCACCGCCGTCGTTCCCCGTGGGTCCGCGAGTCGAAGTGCGATCCAACGACATCGGTTCAAGGGCGCGTGGTTTCGAGGCCACGATCACAAAACCCAAGCAAGCTCTCACATCGTCGTCTACTCCTCACTCCTCGACGACGCTTCTTCTCAGCCTCTCGAAGAGAAGGTTCCCTTCTCGATGATCCGCCGCGGCGCCGCCGCGGACCCCGCGCCGTTTTCGGGCTCCACCAGTGGCGTGGAGGGTTCCATAATGAAGGATGGTGGAAGGGAGTGGTGACGAAGTTGCCGATGATCGACGGGAGAGGGGACTTGTCGAGGTTGTATTCTGTTTGTTTTCCGATGTCGAGGGAGGAGTTTCAGTTTAGGGCTGGGGAGATCAGGAGGAGGATGGAGTGGGTGAAGGGGCAGTGGATTCCTTTTGAAGATGGTGATGATCAGGTGATCTCTTCCCAAATCTTCAATTTCTTTTAATCAAAATTACACCCCAAAATCTTCATATTTGTTGAAATGGGGGTCTTGTTTAGAAGAAATTAGTAGATTTGTGGGGTGTAATTACAAGTATTAGGGTTCTATTTAAATAACTAAATGGATTAAAAATATAAAGATTTGGGGGGCCTAAAATAGGATAGAATTTAGGGTCTGATGCCTTTTTTATAAGGTTTTTACAATGTTGATTTGGTTTGAACTGCATGTTACTTTTAGTTTGTGATTATGGCCTTTTACTTAACTATAGTGAGTTTCAAAGTTTACTCAAGTTTTCCTTCTGTAATTTGAATTATTGCATCTCTCTTTCTTTTTGAGTGTAGGTATAAGTATATACTTGATTTTCGTGTTAATTTCTTTGTGTTAAAATTTTCAATTTCACATAACCCCCTAAAATATTTGGTGTTATCTGACATTTTTATAAGTTTTTGGTGACATATCATAATGATCCAAGCTTTAGTGGGGTTATGTCAAATTTTCTTTTGTGATGAATTATTGCACTTCTCTTTTTTGATGATAGGTATGTTATACTTAAATTTCAAATAAATTTTTTTTTGTGTTAATTCTTTTTTCAGTTGTTTGTGAAATTTGCTATTTCCTAGTTATTACGTTCCTACTTTTTATCTTTGAAGGGTTTTTTTTGGAGATGATTAGTCTGTTGTAGTTTTGGTTAGAATGTGAAAGTCTATTTCATTACATCGGATAACTTTAGAAGAAGGCTTGTTATTATTGATGATGATGGTTATGTATACTTATACTTGCTGGAGACTAAATATGCAGAGTCCCTGTAAAGGTAGAAAATAAAGGAGAAAATGAGGAAATGATATCCTTCCTGATACATGATTATATGCTACATAATATAAAAGATATGAAATCAAGAGAATATATAGTACTATATTTAACATGCTGGTCAAATTCATGGTGGGTCGAGAACGAGAGTTTGGATAAGATGCACCAATTTTCATAGATGGTTGTTGGCGTGGCTTGGCGAGAAGTGATTGAATTGGAGCATATTGTCTGGAGTTGTAGGCGGCGAGGTGGAGGCTGTCCATTGAGGGCGTGGACAGAGGATGCGAGGTGGAGGCTGTCCGTTGAAGGCGTGAACAGAGGATGCAAGGTGGAGGTTGTCTGTTGAGGGCGTGAACAGAGGACGCAAGGTGTTATAGCTGCATATAGTTGATGGCGTCAGCATCGCTGTGAGAGATATCTCAGGCATTCCATCGAACGCCTTAGTGTAGCATCATCAATGGGCATTAAGCGACCATTAAAGATGACGACGGTTATGATTGTTGCCATTGGCAATGGAGTAGAAGAGGGAGTGAAGGCAGTATTTGTGAGCGAAGGCTGCAGTGATTGATGAATTTCACCAAACAATTCGCGAGCATCATGGAGAAAGAGTTGGGTGTTGGTGAGTGAAGGTGGATCTCGCGAGCTATAGGTTGGTGTCAGCGGGTGTTTTCAACGATGTGGTGATGCAGTGTCTACGGTAGCCAATTTGTTATACAGGTGGAAGTAGCTCTTTGACGGCCTTCATTGTTAGCTGCTCGATCTTTGAGACATTTCATTGAACAGTTGGCGATCGTAGAGGGGACATAGCAGCGAAGGGAGTCTATCGGAGTTGGCAAGGGTTTGCTTGCAGAGGAGAGGGCTTAGCTTGCAGGTAGTGGAGAAAATTGTGATTTGTTGAGGGGAGTTGAGGTGGAGCATCTGCAGCTTTCTTCTCTGAAGCATTTACCGAAATAGTTTCATGTAGATGAAGTGTTGGTGTAGTTGCTGCCCGATTGGAGTGGTGAGTGTGTGGGGATAGGCTTGCAGGTGGTGTTGATCGGTGATGAGAGAATGTGATGGCATTTGGTTGTTGGGGTGGGGGTAATGTCAGCAGGTGAGATGAGAAGTGTTGCCGACGGTCAGTGGTGATGGGGTTGTAGGCGGCGGAGGTGGAGTGTGAAGTGGGACGTTGTAGGTTTCGAGGGACTTGAGCCATCGGGAGAGGGTTGACGTCGCAAAGGTTGGAGCCGGTGTCAAAGCTGCTAAGGGGAAGCACAAAGATGAAGTTTGTGCCGGAACCCTCTCGGCGGCCTCGAGATTGAGGAAAAAAGAAAAGAGGCCTTTAGGAGGGAGAAAATGGCTATAATACCATGATAACTTTAGAAGAAGGCTTGATATTATTGCTGATGATGGTTACATTTTCTTATACTAGCTGTATCTTGTGATTCCAAGCCCTGTGCCATTTTTAACCATAACTTTAGGGACTTCCTCTTGTGTTTTTTGTGTACTGTTTGTAGTTTTTCGCATACTAAATCTACTTTACAAGCTGGGGTTTTTTTCACCACTGCTTTCTATGGTATTTGAATTGATTTGACAAGCTAGCTTTAGAATCAGTGGTAAAGAGAACAACCCTCGCTTAATTGTTCTTTCATTCAACAATTAAAATTCAACATTAGTAAAAAGTGTGTGTAGATTTGTTATATCATTTCTATCACATGCTTATCTACTCGTACGCTATCCATCTTTTCGAATATTAACAATATCATGGTTGTACCCTATCCTTGACCATTGATGTCTAGATATACTCTATGCATTATGAATCATTCTTCATGATTCTTGCCTATGGACTGGTGTATAATTTCTAATTTCCTTTTGCAGGAAGGAGTGCCAGCGATATTTGCTCAGGGCACACAGGTGGAAATAAGCGGTGATAGAGAGAACTTTGGGGCAGCTTGGTTTGTTGGAACTATTTTGAAGGTTCTAGGGAAGACAAATTTCTTAGTGCAGTATGAAAACCTATATAGCAACAACCTTACAGAACTAAAGGAGATTGTTGATATACAGTATATTAGGCCATGTCCACCCATATCAGACTGCACTAGTTTCAATGTGCTGGATGAGGTTGAGGGATTTGATAAGAATGGCTGGTTTGCTGGGGTGGTTTGCAAAATTCTTCCTGGGCAGCGATATACTGTTAAGTACAAACATCAGGACAATGAGATGGTATTTGATCACATTTTATTAAGACCTTGCTGTGTTTGGGAAAAGTACCGCTGGGTACACACTTCTCAGGTTTTGAAGTGCTCCTATCAGTTCTCACTGCTTTTTAAGTGTTATTATCCATTCTGGCATTTGTATGTTGATTCTCATGTTTGTTAATTGTTTGTCTACTTTTAACCACAAAATGAAGTTTGTTGACCTGTTCTTCAAGGCCAGCTAATTTGCTCATTTAGCCAACCCCAACAAATTGGGATAAAGGCTTTTGTAATGTTATACCTGTCAATTGTCATACAATATTTCTGGCTAACTTCTCTCTTATTTATAGCTTTCATTAGCCAGTTATATGAGAGATTAGAACCAATTGGGAGCTTGATATCCTGTACTGATTTATGTTAATGAAACTTAAAAAACTTCTTGTGGAACTTGCTTGATGGGTCTGCACTCTGCAGCCCACCTTATTTCGATGGAAACAACTTAGGTGAGGATGATGATATTGCAGACAACATTAACAACCCTTATTCCACTACACTACGGACCAGTTTTCATTAAGGAACACACACTAATGACTAACCATTCAAAGAAAATACACTTCAGAACCTATAAAGTTCAAAGCTCACATTTTGCAAGCTATCCTCCAGTTCTTTGATATCTTTCTTTCCTTATATTGCTTTTTTATACGACTGTATGGTTATAATTATTTTTGAACGTATGTTTCTGCTATGATGTGGTTTCTACGCCATGCTAGTATGCTACGTAAAACTTTAGCATAAGGTGGTTGATGGGGACATTTCACTGTTAAGTTTTTCAATAATGACAGAACACAGAAGAAGTAAATCTATCAAAGAAACTGGTGGATAGCTTGTAAAATGTGAATTTTGAACTACACAAGTTCTAAAGTGCATTTTTCTTTGTATGGCTAGCGGGGGTTCATGGAAACTGGTAGTTATGTACCTCTGTCAGTCTTCTCACCAAAAGGCAGTACTGCTATGTGCTTTACAGAAAGGGAAAAAAAGACCTGGATCATTTTGTTAACCATTTAAATAGGCATGGGTATAGGCGTATAGCACATAGAATGTGTCCTTTGAACTTGAAGGTTGGATCTGCGTAATCATTTGTCAATATTGCTAACACTGTTAGCACCTCTTTCGTTAGTTTCTATGTGTATAATTTTTGCAGTTATGTTGAAATGATAGTCATTCCAGGGCAATCCAGCTGTTCGTGGAAAGAAATTTAGTGCTAGCAAAAGTTTCATTCATCCGAGTTCAGATTTGATGTCTGGTGATGATGGTTCTGATGCTGTTACCAAATCAAGTTTCTTAGGTTCACAGCAGAAAAGGGCATATAGGCCAAGCCAAGGTGTTATTGAGTTGTCCCAAGCTAGCAAAATATCAGAGGAAAATTCAGTGTCTAAACACTTGGATTTGGTAGATGAAATTTCTCAGGGTAAGAGTGGTAATCTTTCTATTCCAGTACCGGTATTTAGAAGCACTAGCGATGGAATTGTTGATGGATCTTATGTTGCAAATTTGAATGATAATCATCCAACAGGGGCCAGTCTTGAAGACGGGGTAGAATTTTTTCAACCTGGCAAGAAATTTAAGGAGGATTGCAAGAAATCGAAGTACTTACTGGGAGAGCATGAAAAGTTGGTAAATGATGCCATTTCAGTTACCAGAAAACAGAGATCCCGAGCTGCTAAACAATCTAGCCTTCCTACTCCATTGCTAACTTCAAGTAGCAACGGTGAAAATTCTGATATATCTGGAGTTGTAAATTTGAAAGATAAAAATGTTCGGGATTCAAGCTTCAAAGCCAAGTCATTTAAACCTAGCAAGACCCCAAATAAACAAAAATTACCAGCAGAGAACTTGCTGTCAGTAGATGGCAAATTGATGGATTCCAGTAAGGAAACCCCACCAACAGTCGTAAAATGTTCCACTGCTTCAAGGCTTCCAAATGACAAAGTGGGATCAAACGCACACTCGAATCCCTTATCAAAAGAGTTCTGCCATGGACAGGACAAATCTGGTGTGGATGGAACTGATGAATCAAGTATCACAAGGAAGGAATCTTGTAGTTTCTTGGGGGAGAGAACAGTGCGTCAAGCAGTGGAAGCTAACTTTTACTGTTCAGTAGTTGGGCTTGCAGCTGTTAGCCTCGTTCCACCTGCTAAGAGAGATAATGGCAGACAGATTCCTAGCACCTCAAGAGATGCTAAGATGCGAAGAAAGAAACTTGCTATAAGGAAACGACAGCCAGAGATTTCTGATGTTGTAAGTCACTTTTAACTCCTTGTTGTTGTTTTGATGACTGAAAATGTATAGTATGTATATTTCCCCGGGTATAACATTTTACTTTTTAAATATAGTTATGTCTTTTGTGTGTGCGTGTGTTGAAGGTTAGATATGTATTAAATGTTTTTGAAATGTTCTGAATATAGTTGTTTCCAAAACACTTATTGAAATGTTTTGATGACTAAATATGTATATTGCCCACGGTATAACAAAGATATGAACTTTTCTCTTACGCCTAATTCTTCTTCTGTTCTCTTAAGGATGTTATACAGCGTAGAAAGGAGATGAAGAAACATAATGGCAGCATACCTCCAAAGCATAAGGATGATTTCATGACTCGTAAGTGTTTCTCGTTGCCAGTTAAATTATGCTTAGATCTATCTAATCTCACAAGTGATACATGTGAAAGTTTTTTGGTAGTATTGCAATCTAAAACACCGGAATAATAGGACAAGTTGTGGGAAGTGAAGATTAGAGAGATTTGGTTGAGCTATCCAATTAAATACTTGCTCTTGATGTATGAGACAGCAGTTTACACTACAACATGAAAATTTATTTGAGAACAAAAATCCTCTATTGTATATTACTAATTAAGACTTCAAAATTATCTTGCTAAATAATGAATAGTTTAAGTAACCCTTTGCCTTTTGTGCAGAAAACTCACCAGGTAATGATGCTTTTTCTTTGCCCAAAATGCAAGCGGGCATCATGAAAACTCCTCCTGCGACGCCTCTGGCAGAGTCTTACATTCTAAATGTCAGTTCGCTAGAAAACTCAGTAGTTCAACAATCACAGTCCCTCAGTAGAAATGCAGAAAACAGGAATTATAGCAGTAAACTTGCTCAGGCTGGAGTTGATGAAAGACACCAGGACCATCCTTCTGTTCCAAATGGCTCAGTATCAAACAACGTAGCTGAGATGGAGATTGCTTCAATTGACCCCCCGCATACGGAGCCATCACCTATGGAGGAAGATAATACTTATCATGAGAATGAGTTTAGTCCGAGCAGGTTCCTGTCTGAGAATGAGAATGTCATTGATGAGATTGACGATAGGGTCCCTCGTGATCCTAGCCCTAGTGGGTCATCTCTTTCAAGGGAAGATGGTGTCTCTGATCATAATGTGCTTACTCCATGTGGGTCAATATCTGCAAGGTCTGTCATTGAGATGGGGCATGCACCATCATCACTTATATCAAGTACTGTTAACAACGGGATTGGAGAGGTTGGACATTGTGTCAATGAGCTTGGCGAGAATGGAAGCAGACTAGAAATCAATGTTAAAGCCATTTTCAAGGAACACATTGCTCCAGAACATGATGAACTTGCTTCAGTTGGGCTGTCATCTGCTGAGGATATTACTAAGGATGGCGAGATAGCATCCGAAAGGTCACCATTGCCATTCACGAAGAGGTCTCAACTTTGGGAGGTAGTCGAGTCGAGAGAAATTTTTAACACGTTTCCTCAACATCCACATTTCCAATCATTGCTGCAGTACGAAAAAGATCTACGTGAAGGAATGGCCATTGGTCTGATGGAGAGCTTTGCCTGTTTAGTGACTGACATAAGGAGCTTAATAATTGATTCAACGGATGATTTTGAGGAGAAATTGAGAGCCCTTGTTACCCTGGAGTCAAACGGGTTCAATATTCAGCCAGTGCGTGCTCGCCTACTAAAGTTGAAAGAGATAAGTGGAATGCGAAGTCAATCAGAGGGCAAAAAGCATTCCCTGGAGGCCAAGTTACTAGAATTGCATGAGGAGAAAGAGAAGAATGATCTGTTAATGTTTTTAATTGATCAAGAAGTATCAGAATGGCAACAAAAGCTCGCCTGCCTTGTGGAGAAAAGAGCATCTATGGTTCTTGAACATGAAAAGAAATATTCTGAGATTGTTGCTTTAAAAAAAGATATCCAAGCAGCTGAAGAAGCTAGTAGATCTGCAACACTGCAGTTAAGCGCTGCACTAGCCGCACCATGGTGAAGAAGAGAACTAATTTGATGCAGGCGAGGTGCGCTGCTTTTCACGTTAGGGATAGTAGGTATTCTGGTTAGCACTTTAACGCAGTGGAGGTGCTCTTTTTGGTGTAAATATGAGCACCAGTACGTTTAATTTGACCTTATTGACGAATCTGGATGCGTTTTGGTTTGTAAATATAGCAGTGAATCGTCAACTATGGTCGAACCTCAGTATGGTGTAAATATGTTTTTCGCTGTTTCTCTTTTAGTTTGAGACTCTACGATGCTTTTCCTTGAATCTTGTTCGGTTATTTCTGAGGCTGAAGTTTTTTAAGCCTGAATTCTCAGCAGGGGTTTTACCTAAGGTAACATAGGCGCATTCTGTTGTGGCCCTTTTTTATTTGGGACGAAGTTTGGATGATAACAGTGAGACGATTGAACAATGTGCTGGTAATTTTTCTCTTGCAACTGCCTGTTCTCTTTTCTTTCAACCCCGGAATTGTTTTATTTTAAATGCTGTAGTTAAGTTTGCACCAGCTATTTCAATGAAGTACAAATCTGGTGTGACTATGTTGAGTGACTAGTGTGTTTTGTTATATGAATGGAGTAATTTCAAATTGAGTACTTGTATCATTTCTCCATGTTAAGTTTGTTCGATGCCTCATGTACCATGTACAGTCGCATAATATAACGAGACTAGGTGTTAATGATCGAAGCTTTTTCCAGAATATTTTTTCCTAGCCTGAAAATCAGAAAAATATGTAAATAAATCCTTAAAGAATGTTAATACGTTGGAAGATGGAGGAGTTATTTGAACAAATTAAGCAATTTTTAGTCCAAAAGCTCCCCCTCCCTCCCCAAAAGCCTTCCTCCCTCTACTCCAATTTCCTTTTCACTATCTTTTTAAAATTGGTTTAATTACACATAAACCACTTTTAGTACGTATTATTCTTGTATTTTGATTTTAGCGAATAAATCTCCTAGATGAACTCTATTATTTTTATCTTTTATTTGTTTTGAGATCAAAAATAATTATAAATGATATTAATGCGATAAACAATTACACATGTGATGATGACAAGCGGGCAACAAGCTGCGCCGCTAATCCTTTCTGAATTGCAAAACCCAACTTACGAAACACATACTCAGCGGACCCTGGTGTCGCCACATTCTTATTCATGAATTTCTGTACCCTCCTTAGGAACTCCACCGCATCAGATGCAAGGAAACCAAACGTATCGAAAGCGAACGAGATGAAGCTGTGGTGGTTGTCCTTGCAAGCTTGATCATGTTTGTCCACCTTTGTCTCTGCTGCTCTATCCGCTGTATGCCCAACCTTGAACTCTCCATTACCAAACCCCACCAACGGAGACACCCCTGTGAGATCAACACAAGCATGCTTCCCCCCGCTCCAATTGTAGACAAGAACGTCTGCCGGCCTAAGAGTAGATCTAGCTTCTCCAGGAGGAGTGAGGAAGTTGACTGGCGCTTCCTTCTTTGATGGGATCTCTGCTCTTTGGAGGATATCATACAAGACATCTCTGACTAAGTCGTGCCTGTACTTGAACCCCGGCTGCTTCTGACAATGGATGGCATGCTCTCCAAAAGCATCCATCTGCGTTCTACGACATACTGGGCAAACTGTCCCCTCCACGAACAAAGGAACCAACAACCTGTACCTGAGAATGGCCTGATACTCCCCCGGAGTCATACGCTGCCCCAATCCCTCAATAGGCGTGGCCAACAAGAAATCCTGGGCGTGCTTTGCTCTTTTGAGATTGACTCACTAATTTCACTGATCATAGAATGTGTCAAAATTTCGACGGACATGAAAGTGTCAAAAAGATTTCACTAAGGAGGACTATCTAACAAAATCAAATTATAAGAATAATTAGTCCCAAATATGTGCGCCCTACGCAAGAGGACATCTTCTCTTAGGGGGGGTTAGTCATCTAGAACTTAAAACTGGAACTAGGATAATTTATGGGATAAATTTTTAAGGTGTTAGTCACATAGAACTAGGAAATTAGATATTTTTTTATAGTGTTAGTCAAGTAGAACTTTTGTAGAACTAGAACTGTATTAGTTTTTTGGTGTGTTAGTCAAGTAGAATTCTACTAGAATTAGAATTGGGATAATTGGTCATAATTATCCCACAAATTATACTACCTATATATATAACCATAAGTTCTCCTCTCTCAAATTATCCCACACATTGGAAAGAATACAATTGGGGAAAAAAAGTGAAACGCCGCCTCCCTCCCTCTTGGTTAGTTTCTCCGCCTAGAAAATTTCTCTGCCATGAAGTCAATCATCCGTTTATTTTTCTGTCTTTACTTTGTTTTTGTGATGATTAGATCTTTTATTATTATCTTCAAGATGTATTACTTTATTGATAGCTTTTTGAAGTTAAATTACTTTATTATTGTTTGTTTGATCTAAGTTTTCTCTCCACAACAGTGGTTTAAGTTAAGAATATAGTGTTGGTGGGTTAATGCTAAAGTTATGCGGGCTATTTATGTTTTTTTATAAGTTAGAAAACAACTTTGCGATCACATTGATGATTAGATGTTGAATGGTTAATGGTGATATCTATTATTATTAAATCGGCTCAGTAAATTGATTAGGATATTTATAGTTCATCTTTCGATCATCTGTTTAGCGGCCATGGATGGTTCCTATGTACATTTCATTTATTTTCTGATTTGGTTTCAGCGATCATGATGAGATTGGTCCAAAGGGTTAATGGCTGAAAAATGCTTATTTTTCTTTCTTTATGATGTTATGAGATTTGAACTTCGACATTTATGATCCTCCACTAGAAGCTCCACGAATGTTGCTGATGCAGACGATGACTCCAATAAAGAAGATGAGTTACAGACTCAACGAGCAGCTGTAGGAGCTTGGAGAAATTCTATGGCAGATGCCATGTGGGACGATAGAAGCCATGTGGGATGATGGAAGTCGAGTCACTCTAAGGATTTAGATTTCTATTTATTTGTAAATTTTTTTATTATTTGAGATGAATAGTGATGCTTTATTGCATTATATTTTATAGTTATTACTAGAATTTGCTTATCAATATTATATTATTTTTAATATACAATTATTAACAATAGTAATTTATACCAACCATTACGCCCACCAAATTATCCTATCAAATTATGCAACTTCATAATATTATCCATCATTATCCCACCAAATTATCCTATCAAATTATTCCACTTTACCAATTATCCATCATTGTTCCACTAAATTATCCCAGTGCCAAAAAATTATCCCACTTTACCAATTATCTCAGTTCTACTTAAAAAGTTCTAGGTGACTAACCCCCCCTTATTTATTTTTAATGTTAACTAATCTTTTCCAACATGTGCCTAATAGAGGGATATTTAATTGGTAGCCAAATTTGAAATATTTATAAAAAAGTGCCTAGATCTTGGATTATGAAGCCTTGCCACAAGTGGATGCTGCCCTCCAATTGTAGCACGCGGCAAGATGCTCCGTAATTTAATGCTTGAGAATCTAAACGATACTATGGACGGCTAAATTACAGATATTTTACTTAAGGGCTTGTTTGGATTGAGGGGAATGAGGGTGAAGGAAAGTTAGGGGAACCATTTACCTCCATTCACCTTGTTTGGGAACACTTAGGAGGTGAAGTTAATTCACCTCCATTCACCTTCGTTCACCCCCTAATAGTATAAAAATTGTTACCCCCCAAATTGGGGTGTAACCAAGGGGAAGGGAATTCCCTTCCCTTCCCTTCCTTTCCATTCCCTTCCCTTCACTCAGTTTTCCTTAACTTCCCTTCACCCCCTACGAATCCAAACAGGCCCTAAGGGTGTGTTTGGATTTCAACGGAGTTAAGGAAAGTTAAGGGAAACTAGGTGAGAGAATGGAAGGGAAGGGAAGGGAAGGGAGTTCCCTTCCCCTTGGTTACACCCTAATTTGGAGGGTAACAAATTTTATACTATTAGGGGGTGAACCAATGGGAACTAGGGTGAATAACTTCACCTCCTAAATGTTTCCAAACAAGGTGAATGGTTCCCCTAACTTCCCTTCACCCTCATTCCCCTCAATCCAAACAAGCCCTAAGAGTTCCTCTCAAATTAGGCCTTAAAATATTTAATATTTCATTGAGGCTGCTAAATCATACTTTTTTAAAATCTAAACCCCTAAATATGCGCTGTTCCAAAAACCCACGGCCCCGTGCCCGGCTCGGCGCCAGCCGGCCGGAACCCAGCCCGACCCAGGTTTTTCCCGGATGCCCGGGCTAGGCCCGCACAGCGGTCAGGTTTTTCAGAAACCGGTCCGGACCCGGATCCGGCCCGGAACAGTGCCGGGGCGGGCACGAGATCCGGGCCGGGCTGCCAGGGCCCGGGACCGGCCCGGATGAAACGGTCACCAGAAGGTGATCGTTTGTGGTAAACGGCCGGTCTCAACGATCACCTAAATAGAGGAGAGTTTTTACTTCTTCTCTTCACATCAAAACTCTTCTACTTCTCTCTAATACTCTCTTATACAATATTATACTCTCTTATAATCTCTTATATTTTCTAATACTTTCATCAAATGGCTTCTGGATCTGAATATGAAGAGCAAAATCTATCTCCTATTGATCCAGAAATAAGTCCTCCTACAATAACTACTCCTCCTACCGGTGTTAATCTTGAATCTGGTGGCGACGAATCTGCGCCAAGAGCTCCTAAAAGGCCGAGATCCGATGTGTGATTTTTTTTAAGAAGATAGACGTCACCAAGGATGAACACGATAGGATCATCACCCAGAAGGCTAAATGTGCGTTGTGCGGCCAGATTTTCCAAGCTCATCATAAGAGCGACACCAACCACCTCAAACGCCATATTGAAAAACACAACAAAGGCCAGAATCTTCAAGATGATATCCGACAATCTATGATTTCTCAATTCTCCTCCTCTGGTAGTCTCGGTAGATGGAGTTATGACGTTGCTCGAGCCAGGAAATGTGTAATCAGGTTTATCGTTCTTAAAAACCTTTCTTTTAGATTAGTAGAAGATGATGAATTTGAAGATTTGTTTAGAGATGGTTTTTATCCTGCATTTACCAAATTTTCTCGTCAACCTGTCAACGTGACATTTTAAAATATTATCAGGAGGAACAAGTAAAAATAATTTCTTATTTTAAAAATTTAAACTGTAAATTTTCTTTAACTTCTGATATTTGGACATCTAGAGTGCAAACTAGTTATTTATGTATCGCAGCACACTGGATTGATGAAAATTGGTAAATGTTTAAAAGAGTTGTTTCTTTTATTACAATTAAAGAGTCACATACTGGTATTAATGTTGCAAATTTAATAATTGAAGAACTTATGAAACTAGCCCTAGATAATGCAAGTAATAATAATGTAGCTGTTGGTTTTATCAAAACAACTTTGTCATTGCCATATCATGGTAAATTTTTTTATATTAGATGTATCTGTCATATTTTAAATTTAAATGTTCAAAGT